ATATCTGTATGAAGATGGATTGATATTTCCAGCTTTTATGAACATGGTAAGTATATTGGGTCTTAATGCACATCAATGCTGGAACTACATTGGATAGACAAGATTGCTGCCTCTGGCAATTTTTTAAAAAATTTGGCATTAAATGTTTGTAACCGCTATTTCTAGAGAACTACTGAAGGAATCTACATTTATGCATGTTTACTATTGTTTCTAGGTGTGCATGCCATATTTTGAGCTTGATCTGATATTCAAGATGGCTGCTGGAAGCTTTTTTGACATTTGGAGTTTGTTATAGTTATTTCTGCAGAACCAACTGTAGGGATAAATCAATTAGGATTTTAGTTGTACACCACAGACACATATAAGCTTCATGTGATACCTAAGATATATATATATATAGTATAATGGTTTGGCAGTCTGGAATTACTTGGCTAGTTGATTTGGTGCGGGAGATCGTGAGTTCGAGGCCCAGTCAGAGCATGAGACAAAATTTGTCTTCCTTTGTTTAACTATTTTACAATATCCAAAAATATGAATAAATGAACACATCATTCACAGTAATGTTGTTGATCTTAAGGTTCCAGATCTGATTTAACTTTCATAATTGTTCCTGAGTTTGATATATATATATGTATTATATTTGATAGTATATTGTGAATAGTCACATGTATAATGATACACTTGGGATATAGAGTAACTCACTTTATATATAATACATGGGGAGTATATGGTAAATATATTACATGTGTAATACATGAGGAGTATATGGTAAATATATTACATGTGTAATACAAGGGGAGTATATGGTAAATATATTACATGTGTAATACAAGGGGAGTATATGGTAAATATATTACATGTGTAATACATGAGGAGTATATGGTAAATATATTACATGTGTAATACAAGGGGAGTATATGGTAAATATATTACATGTGTAATACAAGGGGAGTATATGGTAAATATATTACATGTGTAATACAAGGGGAGTATATGGTAAATATATTACATGTGTAATACATGGGGAGTATATGGTAAATATATTACATGTGTAATACAAGGGGAGTATATGGTAAATATATTACATATATAATACATGGGGAGTATATGGTAAATATATTACATGTGTAATACATGGGGAGTATATGGTAAATATATTACATGTGTAATACAAGGGGAGTATATGGTAAATATATTACATGTGTAATACATGAGGAGTATATGGTAACATATTACATATATAATACACTGGGAGTATATGGTAATGTATTACATGTGTAATACATTGGGAGTATATGGTAAATATATTACATGTGTAATACATGGGGAGTATATGGTAAATATATTACATGTGTAATACAAGGGGAGTATATGGTAAATATATTACATGTGTAATACAAGGGGAGTATATGGTAAATATATTACATATATAATACATGGGGAGTATATGGTAAATATATTACATGTGTAATACAAGGGGAGTATATGGTAAATATATTACATGTGTAATACAAGGGGAGTATATGGTAAATATATTACATGTGTAATACAAGGGGAGTATATGGTAAATATATTACATGTGTAATACATAAGGAGTATATGGTAACATATTACATATATAATACACTGGGAGTATATGGTAATGTATTACATGTGTAATACATTGGGAGTATATGGTAAATATATTACATGTGTAATACAAGTATATGGTAAATATATTACATGTGTAATACAAGGGGAGTATATGGTAAATATATTACATGTGTAATACATGAGGAGTACAAAATCTTACTGTAAGTTATGTGCCTAGTTCACTTTATGAATTCCTTACTGGATCAAAACCCTTTAAAACTTCAGAACTGGGATTCTCAAGTCATGAACCTATAATATACATGTATATACAATCCCTATCAAATGCTTAGCAGGAAATACTACTCGGGGCTGATAGTGGCCTTATTCATGTCAAGAATATATACCTCCAGTGGTCCTCGTGTGCTGGAGACTACAAACAAAACAAAACTTTTCTTAAATGTCAGGAAGGCATGGGAAATTGAATTCTTTTTATCCTAATTTTTGAAACATCGGTTGAAGATTGGTTAATTGCAGAACAAGTGTGAGTGTCATACACCTGATATATGTTGTTATCTCATTGCTGATGTGATATAAGTACCTCCAGTACAGACTGTACATAGCACAGTTGTATAATGTAAGAACATTCTGTTGCATTGTCTTGATCACCATTTGGGTTGAAAAAGATGCTAGGCAACATACTACATTAGTCTGATAACATTACTACATAGCAGCGATAAAATCAGACACAAGTAGGAAGTGGGACCAGATATTTGGTGGTTTGTTATCCTCTTTTTATACTCATACCAGTGGCCAAATAAAGTCCAGCACGACAAAATAAGCAACATGTTCTTTATGGTGGTTGAATGAGCATAAGTTAATTGTTTTGCATGTACTGTAGCCATGGCATTTTCATTATATACATTTTTTTTCCAAAAAGTTGGAAAACCTGCTTATCATTATCAAAGTCTTAAGCTATGTAGCATTGGTACTATATTGAGGAACCATGTGACAGGTCAGCTCATTATATATTAATATTATACAAGATGATGATACAGTATGTGTTAGAATGGCTTAGAGCATATTGTACACTTTTCTTCATTAAACTTTATTTTGATATGAATGACAAAAGCAACAGGCTATCATATAACAAAATATTGATAACAGTTGTTTAAGCTTAAGGAGGAAATGTCAGGTGTCAATGTGTCTGTAACATAACCAGTATATGCAGATGTTCGAAGGAAGTGTGGGGGGTTAATGTGTCTGTAACATTACCGTACTAGTGTATGAGGATGTTCAGAGGAAGTGACACTGTGGCATTACTAGTGTATGAGGATGTTCAGGGGAAGTGACACTGTGGCATTACTAGTGTATGGATGTTCAGAGGAAGTGACACTGTGGCATTACTAGTGTATGTGGATGTTCAGGGGAAGTGACACTGTGGCATTACTAGTGTATGAGGATGTTCAGGGGAAGTGACACTGTGGCATTACTAGTGTATGTGGATGTTCAGGGGAAGTGACACTGTGGCATTACTAGTGTATGTGGATGTTCAGGGGAAGTGACACTGTGGCATTACTAGTGTATGTGGATGTTCAGAGGAAGTGACACTGTGGCATTACTAGTGTATGTGGATGTTCAGAGGAAGTGACACTGTGGCATTACTAGTGTATGAGGATGTTCAGAGGAAGTGACACTGTGGCATTACTAGTGTATGTGGATGTTCAGGGGAAGTGACACTGTGGCATTACTAGTGTATGAGGATGTTCAGGGGAAGTGACACTGTGGCATTACTAGTGTATGTGGATGTTCAGAGGAAGTGACACTGTGGCATTACTAGTGTATGAGGATGTTCAGAGGAAGTGACACTGTGGCATTACTAGTGTATGAGGATGTTCAGGGGAAGTGACACTGTGGCATTACTAGTGTATGAGGATGTTCAGGGGAAGTGACACTGTGGCATTACTAGTGTATGTGGATGTTCAGAGGAAGTGACACTGTGGCATTACTAGTGTATGTGGATGTTCAAAGGAAGTGACACTGTGGCATTACTAGTGTATGAGAATGTTCAGGGGAAGTGACACTGTGGCATTACTAGTTTATGTGGATGTTCAGAGGAAGTGACACTGTGGCATTACTAGTGTATGAGGATCAGGGGAAGTGACACTGTGGTAGTGTATACAGGGGAAGTGACACTGTGGCATTACTAGTGTATGTGGATGTTCAGAGGAAGTGACATGGCATTACTAGTGTATGTGGATGTTCAAAGGAAGTGACACTGTGGCATTACTAGTGTATGAGAATGTTCAGGGGAAGTGACACTGTGGCATTACTAGTTTATGTGGATGTTCAGAGGAAGTGACACTGTGGCATTACTAGTGTATGAGGATGTTCAGGGGAAGTGACACTGTGGCATTACTAGTGTATGAGGATGTTCAGGGGAAGTGACACTGTGGCATTACTAGTGTTTGTGGATGTTCAGAGGAAGTGACACTGTGGCATTACTAGTGTATGAGGATGTTCAGGGGAAGTGACACTGTGGCATTACTAATGTATGAGGATGTTCAGGGGAAGTGACACTGTGGCATTACTAGTGTATGTGGATGTTCAAAGGAAGTGACACTGTGGCATTACTAGTGTATGAGAATGTTCAGGGGAAGTGACACTGTGGCATTACTAGTTTATGTGGATGTTCAGAGGAAGTGACACTGTGGCATTACTAGTGTATGAGGATGTTCAGAGGAAGTGACACTGTGGCATTACTAGTGTTTGTGGATGTTCAGAGGAAGTGACACTGTGGCATTACTAGTGTATGAGGATGTTCAGGGGAAGTGACACTGTGGCATTACTAGTGTATGAGGATGTTCAGGGGAAGTGACACTGTGGCATTACTAGTGTATGAGGATCAGAGGAAGTGACACTGTGGCATTACTAGTGTATGAGGATGTTCAGAGGAAGTGACACTGTGGCATTACTAGTGTATGTGGATGTTCAAAGGAAGTGACACTGTGGCATTACTAGTGTATGAGAATGTTCAGGGGAAGTGACACTGTGGCATTACTAGTTTATGTGGATGTTCAGAGGAAGTGACACTGTGGCATTACTAGTGTATGTGGATGTTTGGAGGAAGTGACACTGTGGCATTACTAGTATATGTGAATGTTTGGAGGAAGTGTTAGGTGTCAATGTGTCTGTAGCATTACAAGTTTTTGTGGATGTTTGGAGGAAGTGTAGGAGGTTAATGTGTCTGTGGCATAACTAATATATCTTGATCTTTAAAGGATCTCAGCTAATTATAAACTTAGTACTCTGCACATGTCTGTGGACTAGCAATATTCTAACTGTACTGTTATTACTGGAGGTATATAGCAATGAAATCTAAAGGCCATGGGTTGGGATAAAAGACATTAATATCTTGTGTTTCATTACAGCTGGACAGTGCAATTAAACCTGTTCTAGCAGTGGGAACCCTTCCCCCTGGCCTGCCTGAGCCAGGATTTGTCCAGTCCTCCCAAAGTCAAGGGATAGTGGTCAGCAGCTCCCCGCCTGCATCAGCCTCCTCTTTCCTCACACAGCCTGTGTCAACTACTGCCACACCAACCACACAAGCAACTTACACCCCATACACATCACCCAACAAGGCAGCTACCATGCAGCTCTCCGGCCTCCCAGCAGGAGCTGTCTTAGTCCCTCCAGGTAAGTCCTAAATCCTTCAATTTTTAGCCCACCATCATTCAAATTGCTTTGCATCTGTGGTCCCTCATCTGTCCATCCATAAACAATTTTTGTTATCACTATATCTTGAAAAGTGCTGGATGGATCTTTCTTAAATTTCAGATGTAGGTTTCCCTTGGTCCCTAGTTTTGCTCATCTGATTTTGGGTCTGATCAGAAAATCAAAATGGCTGACAGACGGCCATCTTTTATTTTACTTTGAAAGTTTCTTATTGCTATTTCTCGAGAAGCACTCAATGGATTTACCTTAAATTTCATTGGTAGGTTCTCCTTGGTACTTAAATGTGCCAGTTTGATTTTGGGACTGATCAGAAAAACAAAATGGCTGAGAGACAAACATCTCAGATTTTGACATTGAAAGGTTTTTATTGCTATTTCTTGAGAACTACAGCATAGATCTATCTCAGATTGCATATGTATGCTTTCCTTGATCCCAAGATGTGCCCATTTGATTTTGGTACTGATCAGAAAAAGCACAATGGCCCACAAGAGACCATCTTGGATTTCGACTTGGAAAGTTGTTATCACTGTTTCTTGACACTCACTCAAAAGATCTTTCATAAATTTCACATATAGGTTCCTTTAGGTCCCTTGTTGTGCCTGTTTGAGTTTGAGACTGATCAGAAAAACAAAATGGCCAACAGGCAGCCATATTGGATTTTGTGTAGTAAACTGAACAGATATCTCACAAATTTCATACAGAAGAAACCAAATGGCTTCCAATGGACTGTTTTTTATTTTGGAAGCTAAAGATTTTCATCGCTATTTCTGCAAGGAAATGTTCAAATGTGTTATCATTAACAGCAAAAACAGAGAAGATGCCGGAAAAGATCCAACTTTCAACGAGCATATTAAGATCAAAGCAATGATGGGCACCAAGATCCCTCTGGGATCTCTTGTTGTCCTTTATGACTAAATTCTCTTTTATGAGATAAAGCAGGGATGTGTAGTCATATTATGCCATGGATGTCTTATTTAAAGAGGAGAAATAGTTTTTTTTTTCAAATGTAAAACAAACCTAAAAAACATTATGTATGTTTAAAAAGTTTTGGTAAATTGTTTTCTCATCTACTATTATGTTTGTCTGGTTCCTTAAAAACAACATGCTATAATATATATATATCGCACCACCATACACACTGGACAACAAAAGCTTTTTATGTCAATCAAATCATTCTCTGCTAAAAATGTTTTTATTATGTGTGTGATCATATAATTCATTTACAAAGGTACACCATTGATTCCTCTTCAACAAAATGGCCAACAGATTACCTCGACAGCTCAACAGACAACACAAACAGTTTATCGAATTCCCAACACAAACCAACTTGTCACGATACCAAGTAAGTTTTTAACAGTCCAAATCTTTAATTTTGTTGAAATATTTTTGGAGATGATGCAATAATTTTAGTGTACATTTTCTTTACATAAGAAATACCATACTGACAAAGCAGGACAAGTGAGATATATAACTACTAAACATGCCTGTTTTTACTTGATTACAGACAATTCTTTAGGCCAGTTTGATATATTACCATCAGAGGCAGGTCAAAACAATGGTGTTTCCTCCATCACAGGCAGTGCATCAAGTCAAGGTACAGTAGGCATAATGTGTTGTACAGTATGTATAGTTGTATGTGATGATAAACGGTGGCCTCTGTAACACACATGTCCAGTCCCCACACATGTTAACTTTGTATAAAGTATGTAACAAGGATTCACATGTCCATCCCCACACATGTTTGTATGGTAGGTTGTAACAAGGATTTATCACATGTTCCATCCCCACACATGTTTGTGGTAGGTTGTAACAAGGATTCACATGTCCATCCCCACACATGTTACATGTGGTAGGTTGTAACAAGGAACAAGGATTCAATGATTCCATCCCCACACCCCACACATGCTTGTGGTAGGTTGTACAAGGATTTCCATCCCCACACATGTTTGTGGTAGGTTGTAAAAAGGATTTACATTTCCATCCCCACACATGTTTGTGGTAGGATGTAACAAGGATTCACATGTCCATCCCCACACATGTTTGTGGTAGGTTGTAACAAGGATTCACATGTCCATCCCCACTCAGGCCTATGGTAGGTTGTAACAAGGATTCACATGTCCATCCCCACACATGTTTGTGGTAGGATGTAACAAGGATTCACATGTTGTGGTAGGTTGTAACAAGGATTTACATGTCCATCCCCACACATGTTTGTGGTAGGTTGTAACAAGGATTCACATGTCCATCCCCACACATGTTTGTGGTAGGTTGTAACAAGGATTCACATGTCCATCCCCACACATGTTTGTGGTAGGTTGTAAAAGGTTGTAACAAGGATTCACATGTCCATCCCCACTCAGGCCTGTGGTAGGTTGTAACAAGGATTCACATGTCCATCCCCACACATGTTTGTGGTAGGTTGTAACAAGGATTGACATGTCCATCCCCACTCAGGCCTATGGTAGGTTGTAACAAGGATTCACATGTCCATCCCCACTCAGGCTTGTGGTAGGTTGTAACAAGGATTCACATGTCCATCCCCACACATGTTTGTGGTAGGTTGTAACAATGATTCACATGTCCATCCCCACACATGTTTGTGGTAGGTTGTAACAAGGATTCACATGTCCATCCCCACACATGTTTGTGGTAGGTTGTAACAAGGATTCACATGTCCATCCCCACACATGTTTGTGGTAGGTTGTAACAAGGATTCACATGTCCATCCCCACACATGTTTGTGGTAGGTTGTATCAATGATTCACATGTCCATCCCCACACATGTTTGTGGTAGGTTGTAACAAGGATTCACATGTCCATCCCCACACATGTTTGTGGTAGGTTGTAACAAGGATTCACATGTCCATCCCCACACATGTTTGTGGTAGGTTGTAACAAGGATTCACATGTCCATCCCCACACATGTTTGTGGTAGGTTGTAACAAGGATTCACATGTCCATCCCCACACATGTTTGTGGTAGGTTGTAACAAGGATTCACATGTCCATCCCCACACATGTTTGTGGTAGGTTGTAACAAGGATTCACATGTCCATCCCCACACATGTTTGTGGTAGGTTGTAACAAGGATTCACATGTCCATCCCCACACATGTTTGTGGTAGGTTGTAACAAGGATTCACATGTCCATCCCCACACATGTTTGTGGTAGGTTGTAACAAGGATTCACATGTCCATCCCCACACATGTTTGTGGTAGGTTGTAACAAGGATTCACATGTCCATCCCCACACATGTTTGTGGTAGGTTGTAACAAGGATTCACATGTCCATCCCCACACATGCTTGTGGTAGGATGTAACAAGGATTCACATGTCCATCCCCACACATGCCTGTGGTAGGTTGTAACAAGGATTCACATGTCCATCCCCACACATGTTTGTGGTAGGTTGTAACAAGGATTCACATGTCCATCCCCACACATGTTTGTGGTAGGTTGTAACAAGGATTCACATGTCCATCCCCACACATGCCTGTGGTAGGTTGTAACAAGGATTCACATGTCCATCCCCACACATGTTTGTGGTAGGTTGTAACAAGGATTCACATGTCCATCCCCACACATGTTTGTGGTAGGTTGTAACAAGGATTTACATGTCCATCCCCACACATGTTTGTGGTAGGTTGTAACAAGGATTCACATGTCCATCCCCACACATGCTTGTGGTAGGATGTAACAAGGATTCACATGTCCATCCCCACACATGCCTGTGGTAGGTTGTAACAAGGATTCACATGTCCATCCCCACACATGTTTGTGGTAGGTTGTAACAAGGATTCACATGTCCATCCCCACTCAGGCCTATGGTAGGTTGTAACAAGGATTCACATGTCCATCCCCACTCAGGCCTGTGGTAGATTGTAACAAGGATTCACATGTCCATCCCCACTCAGGCCTATGGTAGGTTGTAACAAGGATTCACATGTCCATCCCCACTCAGGCCTGTGGTAGGTTGTAACAAGGATTCACATGTCCATCCCCACACATGTTTGTGGTAGGTTGTAAAAAGGATTTACATTTCCATCCCCACACATGTTTGTGGTAGGATGTAACAAGGATTCACATGTCCATCCCCACACATCCTATAGGTTGAAACAACTGGATCACATGTCCATCCCCACACTGGAAAAAATGGTGTGATGGTAACAAGGAACATGCCTGTACACACAGGATTTGTAGCTCATTTTTGCCTTAACAGAAGAGATGTGTGTAGTAGGGGATTAAAGTATTGAAATGAAGTTTGAATTATGTATTCCTCTGAGAGGCAGATTGCTAGACTTGAAATTCTTCGTTCTAAGTGTATTGGTACTTACAAAAATGTCACTGAATTCAATAACTAGGTGAGTTAGGTGTAATAATGATTCCAGACATACAGTATGATGATATGAAATCTACATCTTCCCTTCCTGATAAAAAAAACAGATAAGAATTATACTGAAGTGAGGATATATGATTTTACAGGTGGTCAGCAGATAATCACAATACCTGTTCCTGTATCACTGTCAGGGACATCACCACAGGTAAGTTTTATAAATAATCACAATACCTGTTCCTGTATCACTGTCAGGGACATCACCACAGGTAAGTTTTATAGATAATCACAATACCTGTTCCTGTATCACTGTCAGGGACATCACCAAAGGTAAGTTTTACACATAATCACAATACCTGTTCCTGTATCACTGTCGGGGACATCACCACAGGTAAGTTTTATAAATAATCACAATACCTGTTCCTGTATCACTGTCAGGGACATCACCACAGGTAAGTTTTATAGATAATCACAATACCTGTTCCTGTATCACTGTCAGGGACATCACCACAGGTAGGTTTTACACGTAATCACAATACCTGTTCCTGTATCACTGTCAGGGACATCACCACAGGTAAGTCCAATGTCGTTGTCGGGGACATCACCACAGGTAAGTCCAATGTTGTTGAGGACATCACCACAGGTAAGTCCTATGTCGTTGTCAGGGACATCACCACAGGTAAGTCCTATGTCGTTGTCGGAGACATCACCTCAGGTAAGTCCTATGTCGTTGTCGGGGACATCAACACAGGTAAGTCCTATGTCGTTGTCGGAGACATCACCATCTTATGCATTTACAATCTGTACTTATTTTTGTTTCTATGCTCTCTGGAGAATTTCAGAGGGAGCTTATAGCTGCTGCTTTGATCTTATATCTGAATACACATTGAACTTCTAGGGGAATTTTTCATATCTCTAGGCATATGTGGCATCTGTATGTTATCTGAGATTTTTCTATAAGTTAAGACAGATAGAGAAAGGTAGCAATGTGATGTTTTAGGTATCACTTTAAAATCTGTAGGTCAAGGCCACAGAGAAGTAAGAGGTGAAATTTGTGTGCAGGCCAGAAGTTTCCAATTAAAGAAAGTATGTAGGTCAATAAACTCGAATTCGTATATCCTGGATGGCAAAGCAGTGTGTTTTCCTAAGATTAATGTCACTTTCACTTTTAAAGACATTATCATGCTACAGATGAAGTGATGTGTATTTCTATCTCATTGAAACATCTAGAATATTTTTTTTGTGTCTGATATTTCCTTGTTAACACCCTTACTATCAGTAACATGTTTATAATAATCTCATATTTCCTGACAGGTACTTCAGTTGAGTGCTCCTCTGGATAGCAGTCCCGGCTCAATCACACTTAGCCAACCTACTGCAGCAAAGCGATCACGCAAATGACTTTTGTAGCTGCAGTGTAGCTTTTTTGTATCAGAACAGTTAATGCAGTATTTTGGAGGCTACAATGTTTGGTGCTGACAAATCCGTGTCATGGATAAGAGGAGATCTGCCATGTGTAAGAGTTGACATAGGTACAGACAGTACAGAGACAACTAATCCTGTCAGTCACGTGGGTGTGTCTCTGATGTATCAACAGTTACCACGCTGAAGGATACACAAGACAGGTGTCTGATCCCATCAGTTAGTAAGATGTGTCTCTGATGTATCAACAGTTACCACGCTGAAGGATACACAAGACAGGTGTCTGATCCCATCAGTTAGTAAGATGTGTCTCTGATGTATCAACAGTTACCACGCTGAAGGATACACAAGACAGGTGTCTGATCCCATCAGTTAGTAAGATGTGTCTCTGATGTATCAACAGTTACCATGCTAAAGGATGCACAAGACAGGTGTCTGATCCCATCAGTTGGTAAGATGTGTCTCTGATGTATCAACAGTTACCACGCTGAAGGATACACAAGACAGGTGTCTGATCCCATCAGTTGGTAAGATGTGTCTCTGATGTATCAACAGTTAACATGCTGAAGGATCACATGACAGGTTAACTGTACCAGAAGCCCTAGCCTAGGGGCATACTTCAGTCATTCAAAATCATGTAAACAATTTCACCTAACTATGCATTTCCCAAAGACTTCAATATCAGACCAGTGAAGGGGCCAACAAACTGAGATATTCACCCTCCTGTGGATGAGAGATCTAAAACATCTGGGAAAGATTTCCTATCTTTCAAATCTTTCTTTGAGTTAGGATCAGCCGATGCTCACCTTGAAGGGAGTGAAATATCTCTGTTTCATACTAAAAATCTCCATATTACACTTGGTAAAGGTAGTTCATGACACACATGTATGAGAATAATGTAAACAATTAACAATTTGGTCATCTTTTTTAAGTTACATTTCTGAAACTGTAAAATGGCAGTCAAATACTAGTTAGTTGGAAGCATGATGTTACATGGGAATTTACTGTTAAATCATTGGAAGTTGCTGGACTGATAGATATGATCAAGAATTCCATATTACTTTTGCTATACAATAGCACTATATTTTTTCTATCCTCTCCTTGGTCTTTGTACATGGTTCTTAGCAGGAGACAACTGGGGTCCACCCACTGCCATATATACAATTTCTTCCCATAAGGAAACAAACACACTCATTATGTTGGCTATGGGGACCTTTGGTTCAGGGTTTATATCATAAAAAACACTGAACTTTCTCACCCAATAACAAATGCTTCTGTACAGGCTCAGGGCCTGTGGCTACCCTGTGTGACCTAGTCCCTGGGATATCACCACAGATACTGTACAGGCTCAGGGCCTGTGGCTACCCTGTGTGTCCTAGTCCCTGGAATATCACCACAGATACTGTGCATGAAGCTCAGGGCCTGTGGCTACCCTGTGTGACCTAGTCCCTGGGATATCACCACAGATACTGTACAGGCTCAGGGCCTGTGGCTACCCTGTGTGTCCTAGTCCCTGGAATATCACTACAGATACTGTGCATGAAGCTCAGGGCCTGTGGCTACCCTGTGTGACCTAGTCCCTGGAATATCACCACAGATACTGTGACTTATTTTTTGAGGGATTCTATCATTCTTTGTTTTTGAACATGGAGCTTTAAAAACAACTCCATGATTATCTTTCCCCTGTACATGATCACTGTTACAGAACACTTGGAAAACAATGGAGTGTATCAGAAAGGTACATTACTGCTAATTTGAAAACTATTCCTGCCTTCTTCGCACATATTTTAGATTGTGATATCCCTCCTCAGAGCACTACAGTAAGAGTGCACTGATTTAAATACACATACAGTATTTTAACAATAAATGAAAAACTATTGTAGTAATGTTTTTCTTTTTTTAGAATGGAAAATATCTGATGGCTGACCTACAAACATGCTATTTCACTTTTGGTGGACTGGTGCACTATATTTAGTTATATCACACCTACCTAAAGTTACCTGTGTTTTCTCCTTGTCCTGCTTCCTGTAGATTGTTTGCTTGGTTTATTGGCCCTTCAACAGCCAAGGTCATTTTTAAAATGAAGTCTTCTAGGAATTGCTGTTGCTACCTCACTGAACAATATGCAGGAGGCCCACCACAAGCCATCCAGTCAATTTGGGTAAAGTATCTTGCCTAATGACACAATCATGGCAACAGTAGACAGTCTGTGATATCAGCTTGCTGAGAAATGCAAACTGCACTGATGAAAAGGGTTTGAGTCATACACTTGGGATCTTTATCTGGGAGGCTGAATTGGACTGATAATCTACTGAGATGTTGTGATCTCAGCCCTGTATACTATGTTCACTTGTTACATCAGCACCCTATAACATGTTATTTTACAGATTTCTATTCTACAAAGAATTTCAACCATTCCAAAACTTCCTCGTGAAAATATTACCATCGCCATTAAAAGGTGACCATTTAGCTACATTTTAAAATCTCATTTATAATATAAACAATTAATGAAATGCCTTCTTTCACAAAGTTTCAATAGAAATTTATATTTTGTAATACAATCCATAAAGTGTTTAAAAAAATAAGAACTGAGAAATATATCCTAGCTAAAACATTTACGTTTTGGTAATTTCTTTAAAGTACTTCTTGATTTCTTGAAACACATGTAGAATTTTCCAAATGTAGAATAACAAACAAGTCTGGATGAAGAATGTCTGAAAGCAGATGGATTTTTTAAGAAAATCCCCTTGATCTGTTAACCAGACTGGAGTTTATTTGTATCAAGTTAAATTATGATTTTATATACAGTATTGGTATGGCATGATGATGTACACCCGTCTTTCTCTTATAGTTTTCTAACCAGGAATTATGTCCCTTTAACTTTATCAGTTAAGAAAAGCCGGTCAAGTATTTGCTGTTTTCATTGGATTCACTTCATATATATTAATGATGAAAATTCAACAGTCTAAGAACAACTTGAGGTTCTACAATATGCATTTGTTCTGCTTCATTTAACAAAATTTAGAATTAACTCCTTTCAGTTTTAACCAAATTAGGTACTTAATATCTTGACATTTATGATTTTTCGTTTTTAGTGGAGTGATCTCCCTTCTGTTACTTAAAAAAGCTTGTGAAATCAACTTGTTCAATAGTTTTTATCAGATCAATGTAGATAAGAAATTATCAGAAAATAAGTATGAAACATAATACAGAAATAATATTTACTATAGGTGTGAATGACCAAGAATGTTCTGTTATTTAACTTGTTTAACACACATATTCAACATGAGTGAAAAAGAAAGTCCAGAGCACAGTTGATTGGGAAATTTTCTTCCTACAAGCACCAAGATACTGTTGTATAAAATCTGTAGTGAAGAATAACCAAGGAACAAAATGTTATCTTTGTAAAACGCAAAAAAAAAAGTACTGAACAAATAAACATGTTACATCACCTTAATGTAGAACTTCGGCAAACTTAATTTTTATGAACACAAATTTTACCAATCCTTAATGCAACAAAGTGAAAGGACTGGTAAGACCAAGAACCGTTTTGTACATACAGAAAGGTGAACAGACACACAACCATTCTATACATACTGATATTGTTGTTTGCTTACAAAGATGAGTGATACAGGCTGTAAGGGTATCATGTTTGGTTCAGTCGAAGAATATGTTGGTTATAATCAAGGTACTGTCCTGTGTCAGTATAGATTACTAGGTCAGTAGGTACTGTCCTGTGTCAGTATAGATTACTAGGTCAGTAGGTACTGTCCTGTGTCAGTATAGATTACTAGGTCAGTAGGTACTGTCCTGTGTCAGTATAGATTACTAGGTCAGTAGGTACTGTCCTGTGTCAGTATAGATTACTAGGTCAGTAGGTACTGTCCTGTGTCAGTATAGATCACTAGGTCAGTAGGTACTGTCCTGTGTCAGTAAAGATTACTAGGTCAGTAGGTACTGTCCTGTGTCAGTAAAGATTACTAGGTCAGCAGGTACTGTCCTGTGTCAGTATGGATCACTAGGTCAGTAGGTACTGTCCTGTGTCAGTATGGATCACTAGGTCAGTAGGTACTGTCCTGTGTCAGTATGGATTACTAGGTCAGTAGGTACTGTCCTGTGTCAGTATGGATTACTAGGTCAGTAGGTACTGTCCTGTGTCAGTATAGATTACTAGGTCAGTAGGTACTGTCCTGTGTCAGTATAGATTACTAGGTCAGTAGGTACTGTCCTGTGTCAGTATAGATTACTAGGTCAGTAGGTACTGTCCTGTGTCAGTATAGATTACTAGGTCAGTAGGTACTGTCCTGTGTCAGTATAGATTACTAGGTCAGTAGGTACTGTCCTGTGTCAGTATAGATCACTAGGTCAATAGGTACTGTCCTGTGTCAGGATAGATTACTAGGTCAGTAGGTACTGTCCTGTGTAGGTATAAATTACTTCGCTAGTAAATGCTAACCTGTGTTGGAAGAGATAACAGAATACATACTGTACTGGATTGGATTTAAATGCATTGGTAGTGACAATTTTTTAATTTCTCCTTTCTGAGTGTAAGTGCAATATTTTAAATTTGTGTGTTTTTTCCTGTTATGTTTGGATGTTGAATGTCAGTGGCTTGCGTCTCTCTGTTAGCTTGTAACACGTTCAATATCCTAATGCATGTAACAATGAATAATGTAGATATATATTTTTCTTACTTTTGACCATCAATTTGGTTACTAGGGCAACATGTTTCAGAATCCTTTTCATTGTATAGATATATTTGTATGTCTTTCTGGTGTCATTTGTAATCTACTGTGTAGGACCTCATCATTGATCAATGGTCTTGATACTCATAGTCATTTCTGCAATTTAAAATCATGTTTGAAGTTTTGTATTTTACTGTTAGTGCCAAAAAGTATAATATAAATCCACTTGTATTTTTAAGTGAAGAAACAAAGAAATAACATTCATATACTTAGGATCCTGTACTAAGGGTCCTGTACTAAGGGGCCTGTACTTAGGGTCCTGTACTAAGGGCCCTGTACTAAGGGGCCTGTACTTAGGGCCCTGTACTAAGGGTCCTGTACTAAGGGTCCTGTACTTAGGGCCCTGTACTAAGGGTCCTGTACATAGGGCCCTGTACTTGGGGTCCTGTACTAAGGGGCCTGTACCAAAGGTCCTGTACATAGGGGCCTGTACTTGGGGTCCTGTACTAAGGGGCCTGTACTTAGGGTCCTGTACTTAGGGGCCTGTACTTAGGGCCCTGTGCTTAGGGTTCTGTACTAAGGGTCCTGTACTAAGGGTCCTGTATTTATGGTCCTGTGCTAAGGGTCCTGTACATGGGGCCCTGTACTTGGGGCACTGTACTAAGGGGCCTGTACTAAAGGGCCTGTACATAGGGGCCTGTACTTAGGGGCCTGTACTTAGGGTCCTGTACTAAGGGGCCTGTACTTAGGGCCCTGTACTTAGGGTCCTGTACTAAGGGCCCTGTACTAAGGGTCCTGTACTTAGGGCCCTGTACTTAGGGGCCTGTGCTTAGGGTCCTGTGCTAAGGGACCTGTACTTAGGGTCCTGTATTTATGGTCCTGTACTTACGGCCCTGTACTTAGGGTCCTGTACTAAGGGCCCTGTACTAAGGGTCCTGTACTAAGGGCACTGTACTTAGGGGCCTGTACTTAGGGTCCTGTACGTATGGCCCTGTACTTAAAGCTCTGTTCTTAGGGCCCTGTACTTAGGGGCCTGTACTTAGGGCCCTGTACTTAGGGCCCTGTACTTAGGGTCCTGTACAAAGGGCCCTGTACTTACGGCCCTGTATTTAAGGCCCTGCTGACAGTGTTGGTATCCTATAGTAGGTAATCACACTGTCTAGTCAGCATCTGAATTTTGTCTTTTGTATGAACTCAATTTTGTAAATATTACCTTCTGATTTAGAATCTGTGTATAGTGATTTTTTGTCAAAATAGCAATTGCATCTGTATAGTTGTAATGTTTTGTAATTCTGTTCTCTAGAAATTCTAGCTGTATACTATCAATACTTTGCCAATGTAATTTTTTGTAATTCTGTACTCTCAGAAAGTCTAGCTGTATACTATCAATACTTTGCCAATGTATTTGTTTCAGTTACATTTTTATATTGATGTTGTGGACAAAATATTGTCGTATGTATTTTGGTATTGTTGGTTTAAAACTTGCTTCACAGTCTATGCAACATCGAACTGACAAACGTTACACATTTAGTAGCTACAGTCCTGATTTCTTCTTCACAGTGTATATCTTCCAGTTTAGATAAAGTTAGTGTTGATCTGCATTGAAAATTTTAATATTTATGCTTATAGTCCATCCCAGTTGAAGTTTAAAAAAATATGTTTATAATGATGTCATGTGTTGAAGTTTTGTTACAGAATGTATTGTTCATGTTGATAGTGCCTTCTTTGATGATTCTTCTGATAGTGGTGGTTGAGTATATATCAGAAGTAATCAGTTTAACCATGGAGTCACTTATTTCATATATGATGTTATTTTTGATAAATAAAAAAACTTAAGAATACGAATTGTTTTTAATTACTGATTTTTCCCCCATTCAGATACATTATGTTCTTGTTCATATGTATCCTTGGTCATGCCCTTTAAGGACTTCTATCACAACTATATAAAATGAGATCCCTCAAGAGTCTTGGCACCAACACTCGTTTGATCTTAATTTATTCATTAAAAGTTGGATATTTTCCTTTCTTTTCTCTCCTCTGTTTTTGCTCTTAATTACAGAACATGAAATTTTAACATTCCTTTTCAAAAATGGCAATAATCTTTCATTGCGAAATCCAAGATGGTTGCCAATTAGCAATTCTATGGTTCTGATCAGTCTGAAAATCATAAGGACCAAAGGGACCTATATACATGAGATACATTGAGATAGATCCATCTAGCACTTCAAGAAAAAGTGATAATAAACTTTCATTGTCAAAATCCAAGATGGCCACCTGTTGGCCATTTTGTTCTCCAAAGCAGTTCCACAATAAAAGGGACATAATTAGGGACCAAAGGAAACGTGCATGTGAAATTTGAGAAAGATCCTTCTGGCATTTCCCAAAAAATAGCAATAACAAGCTTTCAAGCAACAGTGAAAATTCAGATACAAATTAATAGCAGGGCAAGGTGGGTTGTAGCTTCCACTGTCATCGGAGATCACACTGACTAGAAATCGATGTTCCATGGAAACTATTTCAAATATTTCTAAATACCTTAACTCTAGTAAATATTGATAGTTTTTGAGGTTTTATTTATTGATATACAAATACAAGGTGTTATGTAAACTACATACAGTTTATTAATATAAGTTACTTTACAATATATACTAGGGTAGCAGGAAACAGTTAATTTGCATTTTTCCTGAAACTGGTCATGTTTGAGATATACAGGTATAGCAGACTGGTTGTGAAAAATACATCCTCACATGTATATATATTTATAAACGACATAACAATTACATTTAAAGTAGAGAGATTAAAACTGTGTAAATAAAAAATTTCCTGATTTCTGACATGAGATTGCCATGGTTACCAACTCAACAAATGCAAAAATACTGCTAATTCCAACCTAACACCACACCTAGAAGAGATTTATTTCCGAACACCTATCTTAAAATCAACAATACTGTCATGGTAACAAACTACTTACATTTCAGCAAATTCCAACTCCAAAATGATTCACAACATGACCACGTATATACACTATGAAAAATTTCACTGCCTGTAAAGCTAGTTTATGGTTCGAAGACACAGATTTGAGACTGCCCAAATATCAATCTCCAACAAAAAGCTAAAATATTCTTTAAAAAATGAGACCCCGCATTGTCTACTTCAACATGACAGGACCAATTTTAAAAAGGATTTATTTTTCTATATTTTAATTAAAACCTTTATAATGGGGTAATCTAATGAACAAAAATATCACCCATGGCCACACCGAGAAACTGTGTACTGCTACCAAAACTTTAGTATGTAAACAAATACAATGTGTTGTAAATACATACAGTTTATTAATATTTACAAGGTTACTTTATAATACATACTAGACAATAGACAATGCGTTATGTAAACTACATACAATCTATTACTGTAATTATTTACATGGTTTACTTTATAATGCATAATACTAAACTGGGATCATTAATAAAACAGCACGTTGGGGATCCTCGGGCTCCTTATATTGTGAATGTAGGGAGAATGTCTGAAAGGGAAGTTTTTGGGAATCGGGGAACAGGAACTTTTCATTTTTTGTTTCAGAAGTGTCAGTCACTATATTAATAAAATCTAAGGTCCAATTGTTGAAGATACATTTTATTGTCATGAAAAATATGCCATTTGCCAGGTAAAATATGAATGGGAAGTTCGAATTGCCGAGGTCTTGCTAGTGATTAAGTAAAGAGACGGGACATTTTTCGTAGATATGGATCAAAATGACATTACAATATTAATGGATACACACATTAATACAAATGTAGAGACATTGTGGAAGAATGAATGGGGAGTTGATATCAAATTTGCATCTAATTGTAGGGGTGTGGCAATTCTGTTTAAAAAATTGTTCAAATACAGCATGAATGGTGAATACAAGGACACAGACAGGAATATTTTATTATTGAACATAATTATACAAAATGTTCAATTAACACTTTGTGGATTATACAGTCCAAATAATGATATGCTGGCATTTTTTCGTAATCTACAGATACTATCATTATTGTGGGGGTCTGGCACGTCGTGCTTGAATATGAATTAGACACTGTTGATGATTGTAATCATACTAAAACGAATATAGAAATTCATAACATGATAATAAAATTAAGATTTAGTAGATGTCTGGAGGATATTCAACCCAGATGATTGAAAATACACGTGGTTGGGACCTAATGGAAAAAAAAATCGACTTGAATATTTTTTGGTATCCTCTGATCTAAGGAACAATATTCCTACAACAGACATTCGATTTGCTTACAAATCAAAACAACTAACCCTTTAGTATTCATTTAGAATTTAATAAACAGCAGCGCAGGTGGGTTACATGGGAATTCAACGACAGTCTACTTGGCAATCCAGAATATGTAAACTTAGTCCAAAATACGGTAATGGAGCTTTTAGCACAAGAATGAATAGATGAAAATAATGATTTAGAAAATGTAGAATCAAGAAAAAGTGATAAATTTGGGAAACTTTAAAACTAATAATATAGGGTAAGAAAATTATTCATCGTTTAAGAAAAGGGATAGAGGGGGGGGGGGAAAGAGAAAGATTTGGACACTGAACTAAATACATTGTACAATAGATGCCAGTCAGAAAATAATGCACAGTTACTTAGAGGTGTTTTAGAAGGAAAGTTAAAATTATTAAGGGATAAGAAAATTAAAGGGATAGTTGTGAAGGCAAAGGCATGGTGGAAGGTCAAAGGCAAAAAGTCCACAAACTATTTCTATAATTTTTGAAAAACAATACAATAAAAAATTATTCAAAAACTAATAAATGACAATGGGAATGAAATAAAAGATTCAACTTAAATATTTAGTGAACAATCAGCATTTTATTTAAATCTCTATGATACAAAAGGAACAATGATGTTCACCAGGAATCGTTTTTTAATGATAGTAATCCATTTGTAACTAAACTCACTGATGAGCAAAATGATTCTATGAATAGTCCACTCAAGGTTGAAGAAACTATTTATGGACCAAATCACGATAATCCTGATTTTTATAATCAAGTCTCAGATGCCATAGACAGTTTTGGAAATGAAAAAGTAATAGTTTGTAGTGATTTCAATTTGGTATTGAGTCAGATTTAGACTACGATAATACATATAGAAATATAAACAATGCAGCTGCTAGGGACAGGGTTTTAGAAATTAACGATACATATAATCTTATTGATATTTATAGAGAACTACACCCAGATACCAAAAGATATACTTGGGGAAGAAATAATCCTGTAAAACAGGCCAGACTGGACCTTTCCTTGTTTCAGACTGTCTGTTATCTAGTGTTAACAAATCAATTATTGAATCTAGTTATAGATCTGACCATTCAGCTACAGTTACAGTTTTACAGTTAAATGAATTGGAAAGAGGGAGGGGTCTATGGAAACTTAATAGTTCTTTGTTGTGTGATCCTGAATATTTAGATGTGGTTAAAAAATGTATAGAGAACGTTAAGTCACAATATTGTTTGCCTGTCTATAATATTAGTGCTACTAAAGATATTCCTGATAGTGAGGTTCAGTTTCTAATTAATGATCAATTGTTTTTGGAAACTTTATTAATGGAAATTAGGGGCAAATCAATATCTTATGCTTCATATAGAAACAGACAACAGAACAGCCAAAAGGAATATTTGAAGAAGTTGATTGAAGATAAAGGGAAGTTTAATCAGATCAAGAGCAAAATGGATCGAAGAAGGGGAAAAGCCTACTTCCTATTTCTTGAATTTGGAAAATCGAAATTTCACTTCTAAAATAATTCCAAAATTACAAAAAGATAATGGTGATGTGATTTACAAACCTTAAATGAAGTTAGATTATTCTATGAAAATTTATACAGATTTAGAGAAGTTGATGCTTCAGGGTTGTGGAGTAGCAAAATTGAGTAACACAGAGTCTAAGAATCTGGAAGGTTTGATCACTAGAGAAGAGGCAGGTAAAGTTTTGAAAGATATGAACAATGATAAGAGTCCTGGATCAGATGGTTAAACCCCTGAATTTTTTAAGACCTTTTGGAAGTTTATAGGAGTATTTGTTGTTCGTTCAATAAATTATAGTTTTTCTGTTGGTCAACTTTCTATCACTCAGAGACATGTTATAATAACCTGTATTCCAAAGGGAGATAAACCACGTCATTTCTTAAAAAACTGGAGACCTATCTCTTTGTTTAAACACTTCCTACAAAATAGCTTCTGGAATAATTTCTCATAGGATAAAATCAGTTCTAGGAAAGCCTATAAATGAGGATCAGACAGGTTTCTTATCTGGGCGCTATTTTGGTGAAAATATTCGTACTCTTTATGACGTAATGGCCTATGCTGAAGACTTAGATATTCCTGGAATCCTCCTTTTGGTCAATTTGAAAACAGTTTTTGATTCTGTTTCATCGGATTTTATTGATAAAGTTCTTGATTATTTCAATTTTGAGCGGCATATTAGGAAATGGATTAAAATTTTTATTCTTTCCTTCCAGAATCGAACCTTCTCTGAGGCAATAATAAGTTTATTAAATTCATTACTGTTCGGATTTCTCTGGAATGTCATAGAATTAAAAAGGATGTCGTTATTCATTCAAAGCCATAAAGATGTGGGGGGGTGGGAGGGGGGGGGGCTAAAAATGATAGACGTAGGAGCTTTTATGGATTCTATTAAATTAGGATGGATTAGAAAAATCACTCAGTCATCAGGAAAATGGAAAGTTCTATTGAATTCTATTGTAGAGGTAAAACAATTGTTTCATTGTGGAAAGGAATATGTTAAGTCATGTAGTAACAATTGTAGCAATATATTCTGGAAAGATGTTTTTAAAAGTTGGGTTAGACTGAATAATTCCTCTCCTATCAGGAAAAGTAAGCCTGAGTTAATTTTAAAAAGCCCTTTATGGTACAACAATGACAATAAAGTGGGCAATAGATATGTCTTCTATCCAGTATGGTTTAATGCTGGTATATATACCATCAATGACCTAATTAAAAATTCTGATCATTTGACATTTTTCTCCTTTGATGAGTTTCTTCATAAATTTTTAATCAATACCAACTATTTACAGTATTATGGTTTGATTACAGCCGTCAAGTGTTTCTTGAGAAAACATGACTTCCATCCATTAGGACTATTTCAGCCTTTTATACCACTTCTATTTAAAACTTTTTATAAAAGTTAAAAAAGTGCCAAAGACTTTTACAATGCTATTATTAAACCAGTACCCAACCCTACTGGTATTCGGAAATGGAGTGATGACTTTGACTTTGATGATCAGAAATGGAAAAATATATTAATAATTTCGTTTACTATTACAAAAAGTTCTAAGCTACAGTGGTTTCAAGTAAGGATTATACATCACATTCTGGTTACGAACTCCTTTCTTTTCAATATTAATATAATACCTAGCCCTTTATGTACACTATGTAACATGGAAAGAGAAACTATCGTTCACTGTCTATGGGAGTGTATAGAGGTACAGACTCTATTGGAGAGATTTGAATCTCTTCTTGATATTCTTCTGATTCCTTTTTGGATAAACAAAGAAACATATTTATTTGGAATTATCCATCCTAATGCAAAACTGTAGATAACAAAATTTTAATTCTCATTAAACACTATGTTTATAAGTCAAGATGTCTACAAAAATCTTGTGATTTAAATGCTCTTTTGAATAAGATTTAGTATCATTTCCATGCTCAGAAGTAGGGCCTACAGCATTTCTATCAGAAACACTATTATGAAAACAAATTTTGAGAATAATTAGAAAAAATGGATGCCCATTTTGGAACTATAGTATGTATGCTAACAAGTCTGTTCCCAATGGCCATGGCCTTGACTTTACCAAACTGACTTTAAATTTATTGAATTTCCACAAAATTAGTGCTATTTTTATTTAATAATGATTATAACCTTCCCAATTCTCTCTCACTGTCTCTCTTTCTTTGTCTAGGATGTACAATGTTTCTTTATATATATATATATATATATGTGTGTGTATTCAGGAGTGAGTATATGTGTGTGAGGAAATAGGTAGGTCATAGGATTTTGTATTAGAGTATTTTGTTAAGTACATGTAAGTTTGCTATGTGAGTGTAAGTGGGTGTGAATGTTGATGAGTGAGTTTGTGTGCAGTAAGTAGTAGATACATGTGCATAATGATAAAGATGATGATGATGATGATGATGATGATGATGATGATGATGATGATGCATGTATATGTGTAATACATATTCAAGTCAGAGAACACAAGAACCTATTATCTTACTTGCAGTTAAGTATGTGATTGACACAATGAAAAAAAAAAAAACATGAGTATTAAGTCATACATGTATAATACTTCTTCCGTTGTCGTTATTGGACGTTTTTTGGTGATTCCTGGGCACCATTTCCTATATTTTTATGATTCCAATTCCAGAGAGACAAAATGAGTTTTTGTGAATTTTATATGCTCGAAAAAGCCAGTCAAGGACTCAAATACTTGAAAAATCTCTTCACTCACCATGTTGGGGTATACTGTTAAAAGTGTAATGTCACCAGACCAGGTGACAGGTCTGCTCATTATCAATAGTTTACGAGACATACATAACAAGAGGCACAGAGGGCCTGTATCGCTCACCTGGATCTTTATGACCAACTGTGCAATATCTGTGCATATGTTCCACAGTAGATGCTTAAAGCAATATGACAAATTACTCCATATGGGTTCTGTCCCTTAGTAGTCCAAAATAAGTCATGTTAATGGCCAAATATGGTGGGTTTTTGGTTAATCAGAAGAAGTTGATTAACTATTTTACCAAATCTAACCCCAATGACCTTAAATATCATTATGGGTCAAGCTACTTTTTCACACACTATGTGGGCAGCATCAAGGGAACCTTTTGGACAAATATTATGATCCTAAGCTTTTTGCTTAATCAGAAGTTGTTCAAAGGTTTACCACATCTGACCCCTGTGACCTTGACTATGGGGCAAGGTCATTTCTTTTTGCAAACTTTCTTTGACTTCATAAAAGAAACATAATGGCCAAATATAATGATTCTAGGCTTTTCTATATTTCATAAGAAATTGTTTGACCCCTGAGACCTTCAAGATTGGTCAAGATGATTATTTTTAGCAAACTTTATAGGACACCATAAGAGGAACATAGCAGCCTAATATAATGATTCTAGGCCTTCCTGTAATTGGGGAGAAGTCGCTTAACCCTTTCGGCACTGTAGGCGACTAAAGTTGACATGCAGACAGGCCGCCGTAGGCGTCTAAAGTCGACATGCAGACAGGCCATCGTAGGCGCCAAATATAATGATTCTAGGCCGCTATAGGCATAAGAAATGCAGACAGGCCGCTGTAGGCGACTTTGGTCGACAATTTTTATATCTTTATTATATATATTTTTATAATATTTGATGCTGAGCTGTACATTGTGAGAGATATTTGGCACCGAAAGGGTTAAAGGTTTTAACACATTTGACCTCTATGACCTTGAATATGTGTCAAGGTCATTTCTTTTTGCAAACTTTGTTGGGCTTCATCAGAGGAATCTTCCAGCCAAATATGATAACTCTACGCCTTTCGGTATTTCAGAAGAAGTTGTATATATGAAAAGTTGACGGACGCAGGATGGACGACAGACGCCGTGCTATGGCATAAACTCACTTGGCCCTTTGGGCCAGGTGAGTTAACAACAAACGCAATAAAGTTTTCAATATGTATTTTAAATACCTTTAATGACAAGAAAATACAGATCATAACAAAATATTGACAGATGTCTTTTATGGAGTTTATCATAGGATGGAATGATAAAAATGAACATGAGTTTGATTACTTTATATGTGATGATGTCTAATAAATACCCCACATTCTGAACATTTTATTAATAAGTTTTTAAGTATTCATCATTCACCTTCAACAAGAAATCTCGAGTGATCTTGACATCCGCCATCATATGATCTTCATTCTTTACAAGTCGGGTAATTTCTCATATCAACTACCCTTTCTATGTATTTGCTCTCAATTATATAAACATTTCCTGATGAATTACCCACATGGAAACATCCAGAAAGAGAGATTCAATTTTTATAATGACCAACAAACTTATTTTTCAAATAAGTCAAAAACTTGAACAACAACACAATATGATTCAAAGTCATTTCTTATCCAAAATGTTGTCAGGCTTCGTTCCAGGAAGCTTCTAACCAAATATTGATATTCCAGGCATTTTGGTAATTGATATGAAGTCATTTGAAGGTTTCAACTGACAACTGGGACCTTTAATTGGGGTCAAGGTAATTTTTTTTCCCAAAAAATTTGTCAGGCTTCATCCAAGGACCTATGAGGTAAATATTATGGCCTTGTGGTTAATCATAAAAAAGAACTCATTCTAAAGCAAATTTAATCCTGTGACCTTGAAAATGGGTTGCAAACTTTATTAGGCTTTCTCCAAGGACTCTCCCAGCTAAATATTTTTTTTGTATGGAAGGAGCCTTTAAGGTTTCGAAAAAACTGACCCTGATGACTTTGGATATAGTTCATATGGATCTAGATCATTTCTTTTTGCAAACTTTTTTGTGTTTCATCCAAGGAACTTTTCAGCTAAATGTCATGATTCAAAGTATTTCTGTTGTGTAGAAGAAGCTGTTTCCAGGGCTGGACAAGATTAAAATCAAGTGTCCATGTAACAGTAACTTACAGAAAAACAAGGAAATCTGAGCCCCATTGAAATATCGGATTTAGCTGTAAATTGTTAAAAAAAAACTTGGGAGTCATCTGTGCATGCATGGTATGTGAAAAACTCTTTGTTAACAAGAAAATCAATGCATGGTCAATAAACCTTTAAATAAATAATAAAACAAAACTGATTGAATGAGGTGTTGTATACAACAAAAATCATTGATCTCAGTTGAAAGTAGCGTTTAACTGTCTTCTTCTTTATGAATTCTGTTTATTGTCACATATCTAACGTGATGCTCTATCGGTCCTCCGGTACTTCAGTCTGGACATGAAATGTTTCAAAACTATCTGGAAAACATAACACAGATTATCACATGGCATCAATTTATTTATTTATAAATAAATGATTGAAGTAACAAATTATAAACTCCAAGGTTAGACAGGTTATACCCCCGCCGTACATAACAATCCCCAACAACTTCCTTATTCTCTTGTCACTTTTTCCTTCGACGACATCCGTTCAGGTTTGCATCCAGATGGAGAAAGTCCGCCACAAAAGTCCGAAAAATACGGTTAAAGTTTTCAGTGACTGCATAATCAATTGCCTTGGCATTGTCCGACATCCTGTGCCATACTTTTGGGAATGGATAAGAAATCAGATGCAGTATAGGAACACCTGGAAATATAAGATGGTTGAATAAACCATTTTCTCAAAACATTAAAATATCAGTCATTTGATAAGATAGGCTCTGACAGCATAGTTACACTTTTATTACTCATATTAATCTCTAAGTTAACTTAAAAATTACCCTAAAAAATGTTTCAAGTCAAATTTGTTTAAATCTTGCGAGGTGACTTTGAGAAGTAGAATTTTTTAAACTACTCTCGACATTCCCCATTCACAAGCCCTGTCCAACAATTGCTTTACAATTTCATACCTACAAAGTATTACTGCCTTTCCATAAGGAAGACATTTCAGTCCAAATTTTGTGAAAAACTGCCAATAAGTGCTTGTCATTTACATGCAGCATGCTTATGTTTCTCTATGGATGTTTAACCTCTCAATGAGCTCCAACCATGTGGGGACACTAACTTCATCTATACAAAATATTAATAATGCCCTAATTTCCGCTTCTATAACATGAAGTTCCATTCACTACTGGGTGTTTTTTTATCACTTCAGGTAAAGATCCCTTGATCCAAATAGAACAATTTTTCAAAGATTCATCTTCATTTCCCCTATTGGGACCAGTTCCCTAGCTCCCTAGGTGACCAGGTTCTACCTTAATACAGAATTCAGTCCCTCTTCTCATCAATTGCCCCTTAGGTCCTTCTGTCCTAAAGGGGGCCAAGCTGTTCATTTGGTCAAATTCCAATCTAGTCGACTATAGCAACATTTAACTGATAGCTGATGACAGATGGTATTTGATACAATACCAGGTAGTCTCAAGTTATACCAAGAGATTCAGAAGGACGTAAAATTTAGCTGAAAATTGGATGGAAGCCATATGCGGCACCATCATGTAAGCTTGTCGGTCTCTCAGACATTAGAATCTATAGACTCATGAAATGTCAAACCCTTATTAATTCTGAACTCACCACAACAACAGTGATTATTACGAATGCTTGAATTGATGCCACAACAACTTACTCTGGAAAGCTGAACACAGCTGTTATTTATTTATAACACACTAACATTTGAAAACAGATTTTAAAGAATAAACTACTACCTCTCCTGCATCAAACCATATTATCCATTTCATTTACCTCTCTCCTCAAAAGGCTTATGGTCATCTTCTATACCCCCTCCCATAAAACCACCGTATCTACTTGAGTGAAATAGCTTTTGGCGCCGACGTAGTCCTGTTGCATTCAAAAATTGTTTCTCTGTCAATGTTTCTTCTGAAATAAAGAAAGCATCACCACACATATACTGACGCTGGTTCATATTGTTGATACATTCAATAATATCACATGTGTACCAAACAAACTACTGTCTGGTGGACTAGAAGGACATCAAGATGTTTAGTGGGCCCCTGTCTCTGTTTCACCAGTTTTGCAGCTTACAAAGAAAATCTTAATTAGTTGTTTGAGTATCTTGTGGCAATTTTCATGTTTATTTCAAACTTAATAGTCCTTTTTTTTCTCATTTTCTAGGAAAAATAACATAATTCTAGGGCTCTTGATTATCTTGGGACTAGTAGACACACTTGGTCCCAGTGACCTTGAAAGTCAGTAAACGTTGCTTGATTGAACACACTTGATTGCACTAAATTTGCTACTGGACCAATATTGTGACTCTCTGCGTTTTGGCTGTTTCAGAAAGTCACCAACTCTCAAAAGATATTCAAAGCTAACTCACCAATTTTTACGAGGTATTCAAACAATTCTTCTGTTTGTGTGTAGAAACTTGAAAATGACACATCTGTTGATCCAATCAAATCAAGTAAGACAAATGCTGTCTGGAATAGAAAAACCAACATCAGTATATGTGAACACCAGGTAGAGGTTATCTCCCTTTATCTACCAATACCAGTTGAGAGAAACTCTTGATAGGGACCATGTCTGTACACATTATACCATTCTTTCATATATTTTATCATTAATTGTTCTTGGTACCAGATACTATTAATTTAATACTAATTAATTAAAGTTACTTCACAAGAAAATATCCTAGTTTGGTGTCTATAGCATGTTGGACATACACTGGACATCACCAAACAAACACAAAGAAATCAAAGGCTCACACAGATAAACTCCCCACCCATGGATCAAACAGTCAAGGGACTGGGTGACCTTTGACACTTAACAATGACCAATAAACTCTAATCAGGTGTAGATCTTGTTGGTATGATGCTATGGGGTGAATATTAAGCAAATCCGTGTAAAATATAAAATATTCAATATTTGTGTAGTATTTACGTCTGTTGATTTTCTGCTCACTCTTAATCCACCAATTCTTATATCTATCAACCATTTTAGTATATGTACGTTCCTTCAGCTGTACTTATCCATAAAACAAATGTCTGCGGAAAAGATTTTTTTGAAACACCATGGAAATTGTACCACACAAAAATACCTAATTTTACATGGTCTTGTACACAAGGTTATCAAAGATTAATGTATGTACATAAATACACACAAAGTGATTACTGTAAATGTCTTCCTCCTTACTGAAGTACCCTGGGTGAGGAACAGGACACATAGTGGACATCAACAAACTAGTGCCCTGGGTGAGGAACATGACACATAGTGGACATCAACAAACTAGTGCCCTGGGTGTGGAACAGGACACAGCAGTGGGCATCAACAAACTAGTGCCCTGGGTGAGGAACATGACACATAGTGGACATCAACAAACTAGTGCCCTGGGTGAGGAACATGACACATAGTGGACATCAACAAACTAGTGCCCTGGGTGAGGAACAGGACACAGCAGTGGACATCAACAAACTAGCGCCCTGGGTGTGGAACAGGACACATAGTGGACATCAACAAACTAGTGCCCTGGGTGTGGAACAGGACACATAGTGGACATCAACAAACTAGTGCCCTGGGTGAGGAACATGACACATAGTGGACATCAACAAACTAGTGCCCTGGGTGAGGAACAGGACACATAGTGGACATCAACAAACTAGTGCCCTGGGTGTGGAACAGGACACATAGTGGATATAACAAACTAGTGCCCTGGGTGTGGAACAGGACACATAGTGGACATCAACAAACTAGTGCCCTGGGTGTGGAACAGGACACAGCAGTGGACATCAACAAACTAGTGCCCTGGGTGAGGAACTGGACACATAGTGGATATAACAAGCTAGTGCCCTGGGTGAGGAACAGGACACATAGTCCACCAAACTTGACATCATTTTCTAGTTAAAGACAGACAGTGTGCAACCAAGACTTACACCACAAAAAGCAGTATTATTAAATTTATACTCACAATAGAAGATAAATAGCTCTTTTCATTAAATAAAGGGTGTGGTGTATTTGCCCATTTTTCAGCCAGATGTCGTGCTCCATACAATGAGTCATGGGCAGTCCATTCAAGGAAAGCTTCTTCGCCATCAAAAAACACAAGTTGAGGAGTGAGATTCTTTGCCTGTAACAAAATTCAGATTACCTTTATACAAATGTAAAACTTGTGTTGATGTGACAATGGTCCTGATGCTACACTAACCAATGCTTCCTGCAATCAACCAACTGTCATTATCAGTAAAATGGAGGAAGGGATCAGGAAAGCAAAATGAGATGAAGGCTCAGAGAGAATGGACATGGTGGGAAATTCTGTATAGAAGACTGACTAGGTCTGACACCGTGCAACTTTAATGTCAGGTTCAGTTTCTGCTGAGGTCAATGTATGACCTTCCCTCTCCAAAAACCTCTGTGGTTGGGGATTGAAAGAAGACATGTTGATAACAATGTCACTGCCAATGTTGTCCCTAGTTGAAAAGAAAAACGCCACATATATTTCATCATTCTGTTACACCAGCTTAACGTGCCTCATTCTCTAGATAGACTTTTTTTAAAACCACATATGATGCAGTGTATTTACAAAATGTCTTCAGCTTCTAAACTTTTGAGAAATTTATTTTCTTGGGAAAAATGGGAATATCGTTTTTAAAGTTATATTTACAAATTTGTGGAAACGTTCATAATGAGAGCTCATCATTTGTGGTTAAGTAAAAGAGATCACAGAGAATTCTTAGGTGTCCACCATTGTTGTCTTTATTGTTATTTAAAAGTTTGATCTTTTTCCTTTCTCTTCATTCCTCTGTTCCATCTCTTTAATTATATGAAATCACAAAATGTTCTAGCTTATATCTAACTGTCAAATCCAAGATGGTCACCTGTTAGCCTATTACTTTTTCTGACCAGGCTCAAATTCAGAAGACCACAACTAGGAACAAAGTGGAAACTGAAATATGAAATCAGAGAAAAAGAATCCAATGTCTCAGAGAAAATTAGCAATAACAAATTTTCATGGTCAAAGTCAAAAATGGCTGCCTTTCACCTATTTTGTTTTTCTGATCAGTCCTAAAATTGCAAAACAAGAGACAAAAAGTGAATTCCACATATGAAATTTGGGGAAAAACAATAACAACTTATGACTGTTGAAAAACTAAGATGGCCACCAGTCAGCTGTCTTGTTTGTGCAATCAGTCTCAAAAGAACTTTGCACAACAAAGAACCGAGGGGAACCGAAAATCTAGAAGGCTGGCTTCCTGTCATTTTGTTTTTCGGATCAGTCCAAAATAAAAGAATGCACAACTAGGTACCAAGATGAACCTTCATATGAAATTTGAAAGCAATCCTTCAAACACTTTTCAAGAAAACCATTACCTTACTCTAAAAATCCCTTGTTAAGTCAGGCACCGGTGTAAATTTGTTTACATAAGGTAATTAAATATGTTAGGGTCAGGATGATTATGGTTTCCTAATTATCAATGGATCAAACCACATCAACTGTTTCATCGTGGTAACCAGTAATCAATTGATCTTTCTGTAGAAATTTTTTTTTTTTTTAATCTGACCCCAAAAAAGTACCTGCGCACTATACCCGAGTGCGCACTATACCCACAAATTTACGGTACTCTAAAAATCCCAAATGACTGTCTTTTGGCCATTTTCTTTCTCTGATTGGTCCCAAACAATTTGTTTCTCTGATTGGTCCCAAACAATGTACAACTAGGTACCAAAGGGAATCTTCATATGAAATTTGAAAAGGATTCATTCAGTATTTAAAGAAATAGCTATAACAAGTATTGAGTGGACAAACACTGGAATTGTGGTCGAAGGGCAATTTGAATTTGATAATGATAATGTGCTGAAAAGATTTGCCATATTGCATCATCTTCCCATAAATGAAGGATGTCTCTATAAAGAATAAAAAAAAATCTTTTGTAGAACATTGGGTGACAGCACAACTAGGAACAAAGAAAAACTTAAATAGGAATTCTGAAAAAAAGATCCATCAAGTACTCCTCAAGAAAAAGTGATAGTAAATTAAACTGTCATTGTTTAATCCCAGAGGATGGACAGATACCCTGGTGTGATAATAGTTCACTTGGCACTTTGGACCAGCTCAGCTAAGCACTTGTACAGAATATCCCTATAAGCTACAATTTGTATAAAGATTATTTCCCATCAACTTGTCTCCTTTCCTTCAATCTGGGTATGAATTCATCAATATCTATCATAGTGACAGAAATTTCCCCAGCTGACAACGAAGGAGAATGTGGGAATGTGATTGTTTTTGTACAAATTATAAGTAAAATTCAAAGTTAAATGGCCATCAATCTACAAATGAAGTACACTTGATGTACATACACACATTATACAACTTTTATAACTAAGTTCTGTATCTGTTATAGAGTGAATGAGCAGATACATGGGTAGATATGATGGCCAGGAATCAAATAAATAAAGGTAGGATAAATATGACATCATTGGACGTCCATTCTATTCCTCCCATCCTGACCAAATATGTTGATTAAAGTTCTTGATAATTGACCAGCAGTGACCAGTCACATCTATACCAACCTTATTACTATTGCTGTTGGCGAGTAGACAGTTCAGCTGTCTGGCCACATCCAGTAAGATAGCACAAGGGACAGCTGAGTCTGTTGCTCCAAGAAATTGCTGACCTTTAGAAGAAGTGATATTTTTAGAATCATAATGTGCTGCCAGAATGAGTCTTTGGGGCTTGCTGATATCGTAGGTGCCAATGATATTTCTGAATGTCCTCATACCGTGGGGGGTCATATCCTCAAAAATGTCTTCCTCCACATACCATCCCATAGCCTCCAAAGTGGTCTTGATAAACTGCAGAGGAAAAACACAAATACCAGTTAGTACATATCTCTATACACACATGTCATTATCATCAAAACTAACACACTAGTTAGTACATATCTCTCTAGACACGTCATTATCATAGCACACATATCTCTACACACATGTCATTATCATCATACACAAAACTAACACATTAGTTAGTACATATCTCTCTACACATGTCGTTATCATCAAAAACTAACACACTAGTTAGTACATATCTCTCTACACACACGTCATTATCATCAAAACTAACACATTAGTTAGTACATATCTCTCTACACATGTCATTATCATCAAAACTAACACACTAGTTAGTACATATCTCTCTACACACGTCATTATCATCAAAACTAGAACACCAGTTAGTACATATCTCTACACACATGTCATTATCATCAAAACTAACACACTAGTTAGTACATATCTCTCTACACACGTCATTATCATCAAAACTAGAACACCAGTTAGTACATATCTCTACACACATGTCATTATCATCAAAACTAACACACTAGTTAGTTAGCACATATCTCTACACACATGTCATTATCATCAAAACTAACACACTAGTTAGTACATATCTCTACACACATGTCATTATCATCAAAACTAACACACTAGTTAGTACATATCTCTACACACATGTCATTATCATCAAAACTAACACACTAGTTAGCACATATCTCTCTACACACACGTCATTATCATCAAAACTAACACACTAGTTAGTACATATCTCTACACACATGTCATTATCATCAAAACTAACACACTAGTTAGTACATATCTCTACACACATGTCATTATCATCAAAACTAACACACTAGTTAGTACATATCTCTACACACATGTCATTATCATCAAAACTAACACACTAGTTAGTACATACTACACACGTCATTATCATCAAAACTAGAACACCAGTTAGTACATATCTCTACACACATGTCATTATCATCAAAACTAACACATACAACACACTCATTATCAACACACAGTTAGTACATATCTCTACACACATGTCATTATCATCAAAACTAACACACTAGTTAGTACATATCTCTCACACACGTCATTATCATCAAAACTAGAACACCAGTTAGTACATATCTCTACACACACGTCATTATCATCAAAACTAACACACTAGTTAGTACATATCTCTACACACATGTCATTATCATCAAAACTAACACACTAGTTAGCACATATCTCTACACACACGTCATTATCAACAAAACTAACACACTAGTTAGTACATATCTCTACACACACGTCATTATCATCAAAACTAACACACTAGTTAGTACATATCTCTACACACATGTCATTATCATCAAAACTAACACACTAGTTAGTACATATCTCTACACACACATGTCATTATCATCAAAACTAAAACACCAGTTAGTACATATCTCTCTACACACATGTCATTATCATCAAAACTAACACACTAGTTAGTATATATCTCTCTACACACATGTCATTGTCATCAAAACTAGAACACCAGTTAGTACATATCTCTACACACACATGTCATTATCATCAAAACTAAAACACCAGTTAGTACATATCTCTCTACACACATGTCATTATCATCAAAACTAACACACTAGTTAGTATATATCTCTCTACACACATGTCATTGTCATCAAAACACAAATAACAATCACACTCATCTTACATGTTCACCTGTAAATAACCATCACACATACCACACATGTTCACCCATAAATAACCATCACACATAACACACATGTTCACCCGTAAATAACCATCACACATACCACACATGTTCACCCATAAATAACCATCACACATAACACACATGTTCACCTGTAAATAACCATCACACATACCACACATGTTCACCCATAAATAACCATCACACATACCACACATGTTCACCCATAAATAACCATCACACATACCACACATGTTCACCTGTAAATAACCATCACACATACCACACATGTTCACCTGTAAATAACCATCACACATACCACACATGTTCACCCGTAAATAACCATCACACATACCACACATGTTCACCTGTAAATAACCATCACACATACCACACATGTTCACCCGTAAATAACCATCACACATACCACACATGTTCACCTGTAAATAACCATCACACATACCACACATGTTCACCCGTAAATAACCATCACACATACCACACATGTTCACCTGTAAATAACCATCACACATACCACACATGTTCACCCGTAAATAACCATCACACATACCACACATGTTCACCAGTAAATAACCATCACACATACCACACATGTTCACCTGTAAATAACCATCACACATACCACACATGTTCACCCATAAATAACCATCACACATAACACACATGTTCACCCTTAAATAACCATCACACATACCACACATGTTCTCCCATAAATAACCATCACACATACCACACATGTTCACCCATAAATAACCATCACACATACCACACATGTTCTCCCATAAATAACCATCACACATACCACACATGTTCACCTGTAAATAACCATCACACATAGCACACATGTTCACCCGTAAATAAACATCACACATACCACACATGTTCACCTGTAAATAACCATCACACATACCACACATGTTCACCTGTAAATAACCATCACACATACCACACATGTTCACCCGTAAATAACCATCACACATAACACACATGTTCACCCGTAAATAACCATCACACATACCACACGTTCTCCTATAAATAACCATCACACATACCACATATGTTCACCCATAAATAACCATCACACATACCACACATGTTCACCCGTAAATAACCATCACACATACCACACATGTTCACCTGTAAATAACCATCACACATACCACACATGTTCACCCATAAATAACCATCACACATAACACACATGTTCACCCTTAAATAACCATCACACATACCACACATGTTCACCTATAAATAACCATCACACATACCACACATGTTCACCTATAAATAACCATCACACATAACACACATGTTCACCTGTAAATAACCATCACACATAACACACATGTTCACCTGTAAATAACCATCACACATAACACACATGTTCACCCATAAATAACCATCACACATACCACACATGTTCACCCGTAAATAACCATCACACATACCACACATGTTCACCTGTAAATAAACATCACACATACCACACATGTTCACCTGTAAATAACCATCACACATACCACACATGTTCACCCATAAATAACCATCACACATACCACACATGTTCACCTGTAAATAACCATCACACATACCACACATACGTTCATTGGTGAATAACCATTACACATATCTTACATATGTTCTCATAGTAAAACTGAACAAGATAGAAGATGGACAGACAAAACACAAACAAAGTTACCCAGTTGTTCCTGGAGTGTTAATTATAAAGACAATGATCTTCTTTTCACAATGCATAACTAGAATAGAAGAGAATGGAGTGGGCAGAATCAGTAAGCAAGCAGAGCAAGGCATTGATTTTCTTAGGCAAACAGAAATCAATTAAAAAGTGACAATTCTCTACTTAATACACAGCAATGGTGGAAACTCTAATCTTCAATCACTTACACCTCACAACTGTTAATACTCACACCTAACAAATATCAACATTTACACCTCACAACTGTTAATACTCAAACCTAACAAATATCAACATTTACACCTCACAACTGTCAACATTTACACCTCACAAATGTTAACATCCACACCTCACAACTGTCAACATCCACACCTCACAACTGTTAACATCCACACCTCACAACTGTTAACATTCACACCTCACAACTGTTAATACTCACACCTCACAACTGTTAATACTCACACCTCACAACTGTTAACATCCACACCTCACAACTGTTAACATCCACACCTCACAACTGTTAACACTCACACCTCACAACTGTTAACATCCACACCTCACAACTGTTAATACTCACACCTCACAACTGTTAACATCCACACCTCACAACTGTTAATACTCACACCTCACAACTGTTAACATCCACACCTCACAACTGTTAATACTCACACCTCACAACTGTTAACATCCACACCTAACAACTGTTAACATCCACACCTCACAACTGTTAACATCCACACCTCACAACTGTTAACATTCACACCTAACAACTGTTAACATTCACACTTCACAGCGGATAACAGTCACGCCTTATAGCTGTTAACATTCACACTTCACAGCGGATAACAGTCACGCCTTATAGCTGTTAACATTCACACTTCACAGCGGATAACAGTCACGCCTTATAGCTGTTAAACTGTTAATGTACAACTGTAGATGATATCTTATCAATGTATAGTGAGTCTTTTAACTGGTGAATATAAACTATCTATAGCAAGCCTTTACACTGGTCAATCTATAGCTAGCCTTTTCACTGGTCAATCTATAGCTAGCCTTTACACTGGTCAATCTATAATTTATAGCAAGCCTTTATACTGGTCAATCTATAGCTAGCCTTTACACTGGTCAATCTATAGCTAGCCTTTATATTGGTCAATCTATAGCTAGCCTTTTCACTGGTCAATCTATAGCTAGCCTTTACACTGGTCAATCTATAATTTATAGCAAGCCTTTATACTGGTCAATCTATAGCTAGCCTTTACACTGGTCAATCTATAATTTATAGCAAGCCTTTATACTGGTCAATCTATAGCTAGCCTTTATATTGGTCAATCTATAATTTATAGCAAGCCTTTATACTGGTCAATCTATAGCTAGCCTTTTCACTGGTCAATCTATAGCTAGCCTTTACACTGGTCAATCTATAATTTATAGCAAGCCTTTATACTGGTCAATCTATAGCTAGCCTTTATATTGGTCAATCTATAATTTATAGCAAGCCTTTATACTGGTCAATCTATAGCTAGCCTTTATACTGGTCAATCTACAATCTATAGCTAGTCTTTACACCGGTCAATCTAT